GAGAGAGAGAGAGAGAGAGAGAGAGAGAGAGAGAGAGAGAGAGGGAGAGGGAGGGAGGGACGGAGAGAGGGAGGGAGAGATAGATAGTTAGAGAAAGGGAGGGAGAGACCCATTAACAATAAAAAAAATATTAATCAACGCGTTCGTAACCCATATTACCTGTATAACCCCGAAACAATGTATATAGACTTATGATGCATAATTATAGGCACCTCAGATGCTAATTAAGAAACGATTAAAAGCTGCAACTGCGGGAGTTGCATCACACACGCAAACGATATCAGGTCCGCGGGACGATGTCTACGCAAACGAGCTCGTCGATACAATGGATGATCGAAACGCCACGAAAACATCAAACCACGTATACGCCCCGTGGAACTGCTGAAAATCCGTCGGAACCGCCGTTATCGAGTGCGGCTATGCCTCTCCAATTCCAACGGAAGTTCCAACGGCACGGTATGGATTACAGGTCTGGCGGGGAAATTCGGCCGAAAGAGATATCGCAGATAACTTTGGGCGATCCTCGAAGGAGAGGCGAGAGAGAGGAGTCGATCGACAGGAAAGATAACCAACGAATTACGCGATCAGGACGGGTCCCTCAGCAGCACGTCATAGCAGTAACGATATACGCGAATGCAAGAACGAACGATGACTACGAAGGAAAAAGGATGAATCGGGCGAGGTACGGGAAACACATACGGAAAAGGTTTCACGGGTCAAAGGTCACGGGTTACACAGGGCAGGGTCGGTCGCATCGGCTCCCACACCCATCCTCGGGAGCACCGCGATAGAATATGGTTGAGGTTATGTAGCCAGGTAGTCGAAAACGCGCTCTCACATACGACTCTCTTCCAACTTCACTCCTTTCCCCCTCCCCGCCCTCTCTCACTCTCCGTAATACACACACGCACGCATACACATACACACGTATGCATGCGCGCACACATACATACACACTCACACACTCATGAACAGGTACACGCGAAACGCACACAAGGGCACATTCGGCGACGTGTGCGAAGGAGCGAGAGAGCGAGACCAGGAAGAGCAGTACATAGCACACGGGCTGACACTGCGTCTCTTCGCACGTGCACATTAAACGAGACTAGAGCGGCACCACGCACATGCCACAGCACGGCACGGGACTGTACGGTGCAACGGCGACAACGGCGGCGGCGGCGGCGGCAGCGACGACGACGACGACGACGATGACGGTGGTCGCAGCCGCGGTGGCGGCAGCGGCGATACTCATACACGCGCGGTCGTCGCGGCCGCGGCCGCCGCGCTTGGCCCGCGCTGCTACACACATATATACGTACACGCGCCCCGCGAAGGCAGCATACACACACACACGCACGCCGCACAGCGAGGCACTCTCGCGCACGCTACTGGCACATAGGCAGCAATACGGCGTACGGGGGATCGAGAGTGGCCCGATAGCCGTTTGCGCGTACGGACACGGAGACGGCGCGGTGCATCTCGCCGCGCGACGCACCATACTCCGCCTTACTTACATTGTATTCCTTGTCAAGGGATTTCAACAATCTTTCGGTGAGCTCGGAGCAATATTTCTGCATCGGTGGGTCGCGCGCGAGCGCGATATATTGTATTAGATTAAACGAAAAGAGAGTCCAGGCTCCACGCGTACACGGAGTGTCGCGAATGCGCGAGAGGCACGAGGGACTCGCAATGGCGACTGCCGAACTGTACGCTCCACCGTCGTTCGCATGCCCTCCCTGCCTCCCGAGTGCCTCCTAGTAGCAGCCCATGCATCGTCCCTAACCCCCACGCCGTCACGCCGAAGCGCCACTAGCGACGCTCGTGGCCGACCGGAAACTGTCGAACCTAGCCGAATAGCCCTTCCATTTCTTCCTCTCGCCATCCTTGCTATCCAACCGTTCGCCCCCCTTGCGTCCCTGCAGCCGTTATCCGGCGTGTTGGAGCGTATTCGCAGATGTTTCAATCAGTTCGCACTCGGTCCGCTCGACATTATTCGAGGCGACGTGCGCGCACGGATTTCAGCTCGGATCCCCTGACTACGGTCTGTCGTAGAACGATATCCAGCCAGATCGCACCTAGGATCTCGAGCTCACCGAGGCCATTCGGATGCGTTCTATCGAACATGTCTAATTCCTAAATCTGTAATAAGCGTTAGGGCATCGGGATTCGTTGTGAAAGCTCCTCTCGAATTTCTCTCAGTTGATTCATCAATGAGCTTTCTTTCGCTGGAGAGAATGAGCTTTATCTCCATTCGATCCGCTGCTTGGTCGTCTCGTTGAAGAATAAAGGTCCGTTCCATCGTCGAGTCGTATTATTTGACAACAAAGAGAAAAAGTCGTCTGACTTGTCGTTGAGTTGTATCACGATTTCGACTTGTCGATAAGAGCTCTGTAATCTCGGAGCTGATAAAAGTAACGGGTTAACTCGAATAAAGACCGATTGTTCCAACCTCTTGGTAAACTTGGTAACAGTTAAATCGTATGTCTATATGTCGGTTGTTCCAACTTCTTAATAAGTCAACTGATGGTTAAATCATATGTCTATCTTTCTCTAAATTGAAGGAAAAAAAAAAGACATGATTTAACTATCAGTTAACTTACCAAGAAGTTGGAACAACCGGCCCTATCTTTGTCTAATTTGAGGGAGAAACTAAAATGAACATACGAGTTAATTGTTAGCTTACCAAGAAATTCGAACAATCAACCCTAAATCAGGGTCTACAATAGGTGTAGCCTTTAGCTTTATGCTCTAAGGTCTACAATTTCTGACAAGAAGAGTGCTGCTTTAATCACTGGAATTTAGCCGACTCGCTTAAAGCTTGGAGATTGTGACTTCAGGTAGAAAACGTTTGTAGTCGAAAATTATGTCATAGTTTTGGGGTTAGAGTATAAGGCTAAGTTCGTCTTGCATACTTTCGTGTTGAAAGCGTCATTTTATCTTTATTGCTCATCACATTTCGAAGAAAGATAGAATGTTTGAGCACGAAAACGTGCAAGATGACGATAAGATTAGCCTATAAGATTTACTACACCTATTGGGTCTGTTTTCTATTGATTAGTATACACTTTTGGTACTTAAAAAGAGACAGATATATTGATAAAATTTAGTGGAAGAAAGATGAAAGAGAACTAGTGCATTGTTGTAAACTCATGAAAAGGAAAAATTTCAACAATAGAAAACAGACCCATGATTAGTTCCGGCCTAACCGTCGTTATGTTGAGATGTGTTCGAATACGTTGGACCTGATTTTTTTGGAATTCGTACCTCGGTACCTTGAATGAAAGTACAATAGAGATAAGTCTGAGTCCAAGTAAAATAATAAGAGACAGACAGACAGTCTACATAATTCCTTTGTTTATGGTAGAAATCATGCGCGATTTAGTATCCGATCTACGTGCCGTTCTTATATCAATGATTGACATATTATTTCTGAAGAAAACACACGATCGATCGTAAATCTTTTACTCCAATATACACTTATGAGAAAAATGAAAATTTCCTGAAGGCATAAGGAAATTTTTCCTTTTCATGAGTTTACAACAATGGACAAAATTTCTAATCAACCACCAAGGTGATCGCGGTTAAGTGACCGCAGTAAGGATAACTGCTGTACCGGAGAAATATCTTGCTCGATACTCAGATGTCGGTACTGCCAACTTGACAAAATTCACGATTGACACCATTCAAACATGCCTGTGAAAGATCTTGAGTATTTACTATTTTGTGTTTCTGAAAACAAACCAGCCAATATAATTAGCCAATAAGTGCATTTCTCCGTCGCAAAAATATTATATGAGTAATCGTTATTGACGTGAAATAGCGTTTAATATCATCCCCGTCGACAATACGTGTGTCATGAAATGTATGCGCTTTAAAATCTTCCAGTGAGGTATCAGTGCACATATCTTGGCTTCCTTCTTGTCGAAGTGTTTGAGAAAAATATCTTTCAACGGAGAAGGTAGAAAGTGTATTTTTAACGAAAAGAAACGAACATGAGCTCGGGCTTCATATCGGAGGCTGAAATTGCCGAACAACGGCGAATGCGGCAAGAAGAATGGGAGCGCGTACGAACACCAGATCAGCCTTTAGGTTAGTGTTTCTTTATTTTTTATTCTTCTGTGTGCGAGGCATTTACATTTAACGTTATATCAGTCTTATTACAACTAATGTACATAGAGTTTCCCAAACATTTGAATGGAAATCTAAAGTATAATTATAGTTTTGTGTTTATATGGAAATTCTATGAATTGTTAACATATACAACATTTGTACATGTCACATATTTAACAGCATACATAAGTTTAAAATTATTTCTTAATTTGTAAGTTGAATGTACTCCAAATATTTGTGTGAGTTGAATGTTTGAAACGTATCTTATATTTATGTGTATTGGTTTATAGAAGCTCCTGAGGAATCTTATGATCCCAGATCATTGTATGAAAGGTTACAAGAGCAGAAGAATAAAAGAGATATGGAATATGAAGAAGCTCATAAATTAAGTAAGTTGAAAAATGCATAAACAATTAAATTTGTCTTATAATTTTGAGATTTATAAGATGTATAGGACATCTGGTTTATTAAAATTAGTAAATATGATTGCTAGCCACTTACTCAAAGAATAAGTGTTGCTTTTCAGAAAATATGATTAAAGGCTTAGATGACGATGAAGTGGAATTTTTGGACCTGGTTGATAGAACTAAATTAGAAGAAGAACGTAAAAAGAATTTAGAGGAGGAGAAAGAAATGCGTGATTTTAAAGCTGCAGTTGCTTCGCTTCAAGAAAAGAAATTAAATGAAAAATTGAAGCAAGAGTTGAAGAATCCAGTTGCCAGCAATAAAAATGCTTTCTGTGGAAGGTAATACAAGATCTATATGATAACAATTGTTTATGTAATAGTTAATTCTCTCTTTCTGGCAAGCAGATAGTAAACTTAAGTTATCTTTTAGTAGCCGTCCTTCACAGTTAAAGCTATTGGCAGGCGTTGTGGTAAAACGGTCTGACAAACAAAAACAAGGTAAGATAAAAATAAATAGTAAAATAGAAATATTTTATACATTGTATTTTACATTAATGCATTATATTTTGGTAGAAGAAACACCTAAGGGAATTAAAAGAAAATTTAGTACATCTGATAGTGACACAGACACTGCAAAGAAGGAAGAACTACATTCATCTTGTGAACCAGAAAATAATACATCAAGACCGGTAACTAGAAAATGTGGACTCAAATGCATTGGTATATTACCTGGTCTTGGTACATATGAAGATTCTAGTGATAGTGATTGCAGTTCCGACACAGATCAGGAAACAGAACCATGCCCTAGTAAATATGATATTTTAGGCCGAAAAATAAAACAATCGAAAGATAAGGAAAAAAGCTGAACAATAAACCTAACAGTAATTTATTCTTCTTCCATATTCACAGATATTATCCTGTTCTTATGTATATATGAATATGGTAATGTTTCTAAATATGGAAATGGGAAATTGTCATAATATTGCAATTGCGTTTAAAACACATGCGTACATATATTTCTATTAAATTTAACCAATATATGCATAATCGACATTTTTCTTAATATATACATTTTTCAGATTTCCCACAAATACAGTTTTGTTTTCATATAAAATGTGAGTTTGATTTTATATGTAGTCTGTATGATCATGTATAATCTATAGTTACTAATGTCTCAAAACTACTGGATATCCTTTTATCACGAGTTTCATCGATTTAAGATTGAATTTGTTCTATGAAACAATTTGTGGAGGCACTTATAATTGTTGGGCAATTGATAAGCAAAAATAAGCAAATTAAAACTTTTGCAAAAGTAGTTAACAAGATTATATTCTTCAGTCAGTGTCTCATAATCTAAAAAATAAGTGTTAAATAAATTATCATTTGAACTGTAAAAAATGATAAAGATAATACATATATTAAAAAAAGTGCTGAAAAAAATTTGTGCCCAAATTAAAAACAATGTGTTCTCAAGGAACATCAGGTAGTTTTTGAGATGTGTATTGATTATATATTTAACTTCACGATTAGAGAATTACTATTCTACACAAACGTTAATCTATTTTGTCATAGTTACATTTTAATATACATACATACAAACATACATACATACATACATACATACATACATACATACATATACACACACACACACACACACACATATATATACATACATATATTTGGCTGATTGTAGATACAAATATTGATGTAATCTTAAAAGGTTAGAGTATTAAATTGGTCAACCAAATAAATGATTATAAACAAAATAATATATATATGTGTATCTTTCTTGTTCACTGTAAGATAAGTTATGATGAGTTTAAAAAAAATAAAAAATCTAAATCATACTATATTTTAATAATAGATTTGGAATATAACTTTAGTAGAAGTTTTTTTATTATTTTTTAGGAGTAAGATACACCTGTGTAAATTTTATGACAGAACTTTGAATTTACCTCAGTATATAATAGTACAGGAGAGGGATGGCGCACCTTACGTCGAGTTGTTATACTTCGAAATGAAGATCCGTCTGACTTGCCATTGAATCGTACTACGGCCTTGAATCTTCGGCTAAGTTCGTCTTGCATGCTTTCATGCCGAAATCATCATTTTACCTTCTTCGGTAATGTAATGAGATAAAGATAGCGTAAAATTTTCAACACAAAAGGATGCAAAACAAACTTAGCCTCCGTTGAAAAGGTGGTGTTGGCTCGTAGCGGGGATTTTTGGAACTAATAAAAGTTAGACGGATCTGATATAAGGGATATTCTTTATAAGTGCACTGAATTGCACTATCCGCACTTATGAAAAGAAATATGCATTTGATGTTTCATAAAAAGAGTGATACAATGTAATAAAGATACATATACAAACATTCGCTCTCACACAGGTATGTATCACATATATACTTATATAATCTTTAATAATTTAAGAACATATGCAATTCCGTAAAAATCTTGCAATTTCCAAATTTCGTACATTTCAATACTACCCTTTATTGCGATGAAACAGTCATTGATACAGCTTGAATAGTAAATTGCATATTTTAAAATATAAATTTACTATAAGCTGAAATCATTTCCTTTACAAAGAATCTATACACAATCAGTAGTAAAAAATAATAACTAAAATACTTGAAACTGTCGTACGATTAAATAACATTGTAATAGACTCATCGATAAATCTATTCGAGGTATCCTATATCTTAAAATCGGATAATTTTTCAGTACTTATTAAAATTCACTTATACATCCTGTTGCTATTTTTCTATTCTAAAAACGTTCTATCAGATAATACAATTATATGTGTGTGTGTGTGTGTGTGTGTGCGTGCGTGTGTAGTGTGTATGTATGCGTGTGAAAACCACTCGACCGAAAACAGTCTACACTTTCGCCACACTCTTCGTCGTGCGAGTGTAAAGAACGCTCTCTCAGTGATTAGGCTCGGTGACGTCGTTGAACAGCGGTGTCAACGAGTCGACATCTTGCAGGCCGTCGAAATTACCGAGAGGATCTAGATCGTCAGCTTCCGTGTCGGCTTCTTCGAGGAAGCTCGCGTCCAGCAGGTCTGCGACGTTTTTGCAGAGATTGCTGGAAGAGGAGACAACAGCGACGACGGCGTCAACGTCGTCAGCATCGACAACAGTGGCGGCGGTTGCGGTGGTGGCGGTGATGGCGGTGGTGGCGATGGTGGTGCTATTGGTGTCGGTGATGATGATAGTAGCGTTGGTCGCGGTTGTGGTTGTGGTAGTGCTGATAGTAGAGGTGGCGGCGGCGGCGGTGCTGCTGTTGTTAGCAGTGGTGTTAACAACAACGTCGCCCTGTAAGTTGAGCGAATTCAGAGTGGGACTGGAGAGTATCGACTCGCCAGGATCTTGATACACTTCCTGAGATTGCACCGTATGAAGTGGCGTCGACGGGTACGATCTGGAGCCGTTGCTGTCCTCGGTATACGATGGTGTGAATACCGAGACTTGTGCCGGCAGTGGTGTGTTCGGATAGGATCGCGACTGAATAATCTTTTGCAGCGTACCGCTAGCGTCGGTGAGGATGCTCGACGCATTCAGTATGTCCTCCTCCGACATGTTTAGATTCGCGTTCGGCAAAACGTCCAGGACGATCGTGCTGTTCAGCGTCTCCTCCGTTGTCTGCACGGGTAGCATTTGCAGATCCCGCTGGTCCTCTTCGTCCAAAATCGTCAGAATGTTAGTGATGTTCTCCGAAGTGATCTCCTTGTCCGTCATCAGGAACTGCTGCTCCGATATAAAGTTGTCGTCCAACAAGTACGCGCTTTCCTGCCCGATGGAGGAACCAAAGTCGTTGTATTCACTCGGCACTGGCGTAGGTGCGACGGAACTACTGGTTGACGGATTGAAACTCTGACTCTGCACTGTCGATAAGCAATACTGCGCGGAGATCGGAGACATCAGGGACGCGGGATTGACCATCCTGTGTAACGGCACCGACTGCGACCTGTTCAAGAACAATTGTTCGTTGCTTAAATTTCTGCCAGAATGAAGGAGTTCCGTGATCTCCTGGTCAGGCGGAGGCGGTTGATCCTTCTGGTACACATTCTTGATCTCCTGTAGATTCTCCTGGCTCGGGTAATTGATCAGCAGTTGTTTCTGAGGCACCAGATCCAGAAATGCGCATGGAGTTATCTTCGGAATAACCTATAGCAACAGATACAAGAGTTGCAAAGGCTTGCAAAGGAAGATTCGCAAATGTTCTTCGCTGATTTTCAAAAGTTTTATATATATCGTGGAAAAAACATATGTAGAAAAATATAAATATTTCTTTCTCTTTTTAGTGAGCTGCTACACAACATATTTAAGTCGATCAAAATCATATCAAAGTCTATGAAAAAATCGCGCGCACAAAAAACTATTCTGTAACTATACGTATTCTTTTATAATTTATCAAATACATTCGAATTCTTAATCTTTCTTATATAATTTTATGTAATTAGTTTTGCTCTCACCTCAGTCGACTTGATCGTTGTCACTGGTACATGTCGCGAAAGAGCGAATTCCGCCCCACTAGAAGTTGGCACGATAAAGGTATCAGTGTTCTTGCTGGTATACGGCACGCCGCATGAGATGGAGCGAGCGAGCATCTTCTGACCGCGTGACTTCGAGTTGCCGGCTTGCAGATTGCTACGCGATCTTGGTACCGGAGTGTTGCGTGGTGACACAAACGGACTCGCGTTTGCTGAACTCGACTTGGACGCACGGCCGTTAATCGGAGATTGCGGTCCCGGTGAAATCGGCGTAAAGTTGAATATCCTGCGTCGCGTGTTCGGGCTTTGCGGCACGGTGTTCGCGACCGGTGCGGTCGCTTCTTGGACATGCTCGACAACGTTCGTCTCGAAGCTGACACGACGGCGCGTGTTGTTACCCGGATTTGGATGATTAACAAGCGTCGGCAATATGATATTGTATTTTTGCGAAGGGTCTCGCTTCTCGACGACGACATTCTGTCGAACGACGGTCGCGGGCAGCAGTTCGGCGGCGACGATCGGTGCCTTCAGATTCTGTTGCAACATTAGCCGTAGCTGCGACACTTTGTCCGAACGGGAGACCTGCTCGGCGTCTGAGCCAACGACGCCGGTCTCCACGTCGGAGCTGGACGAACTGCTCTGTTGAAAGTACTGCAGCAGCTCTTCCTCCTGCTCCTGTGAATTGTTCCCGCCGTTCAGATAATCGTCCAAGGCATCCGTGTCGATGCCTTGGAGCTTCTCATTTTTCAAGACTGGCGTATCCTGTAAAAGGCGGATCTGGTCCCCCGTGAGGAGTTCTGAGGATGTATCCACCGTGCCCACAGCGGAACAGCTCCTCAACGAGTCGATATCACAGTTTTTCGTGGGCTGGCTATTATCCGCAGCTTCACTTACCGTTTTGCACTTGATCAATTTCGTATTGCCGGCTAGTATCACTGATATCTTGCCGGCGTGTTGGATAGACGCTAACGTGGGTAGTAAAAGAGTGGAATGCTCTAAGTTCTCGTCTGTGAGCTTTGTTTGCTTCTCGGGACTGGGCTCCTGCTGTGCTACGCTTGGATTATTGGCACGTTTTCTAGAATGTTTACCTTTGACGTCACGCTGCACGTTCGCCACTACTCTAGAGTTGCTATTACTCTGTCCGTCTTCGCTATTACTCTGTCCTGATTGTACCACTACATTATCACAGTTAGACTCCAGGGAGACATTGCAGGACTGTTGCTGCTGTTGGTGTTGATTACTAGTTTTCGATACTTTCTTTTCCTGGTCGTAAACTATGCTGGATAAGTTCAGCTTCGCCAGAGGTTTTTCCGTGGCCACTGTTGTTGCTGATACGTTTGTACCTTGAGGTGACTGGTTAGACTTGACTTTCTTATATCCTTTAACGATATTTCCTTTACTGTCGACTGGCTTTTCTTTATTCTATAGAATAGTAATTATATATTTAATATAGATATCAAATTAAGCTCTTGATTAATTATTATTATCGAATTAACATTGTTTTGTATTTCAACTCTTAGTTATCATTGTGAGTAAAGTAATTGATACGTTCAAAAGCGTAAAAAATGTTCGGCAGAGTAAAATCCAAGAGTTGAATCAAGTTACACAAATGTTTTATCACGTAAAACAGATACGAATGCACACTACGTACCTGTGCAATATTGTCCAGATGACGATGTTTATGATGCCTAATATATTCTCGTTGCTGAAGCTTACGTTGCAACTGTATTTGAGCCGTCCGGAGTTTCGCAGCTTTATCACTCATATGCGTAAGCGGTACACCAGAAAGTGGGTCTAAATAATTTATCCAATAAATCTTTATATACACACATGTACAATACAATTTCTCTCTCGGTAGAAGAACTGAACTAATGAGATTGCAAGACAACACACGAGTCACTTGCTTCACAAAGTTGATTCAATAAGCTCAAAATACTAACCTTTATTAGGCGAAGGTTTAGGAGGGTCGGCCGGAACAGACAGAATGCACACAGCAGCCAAAGATCGAATATCGACGCAAAGATTATCCACAAGATACCGCGCTAAGGCACTCAAGCTTGAAAATCTCAGGCCCAACAATTTTTCCGCCCATTCTCTTATCAGAACAGATGCAGAGCCCAACATATCTTCACTTATATTTTCTTCCGACTGCTCTTCCTGAATTGAACAATATTAACGTTATAAACGTTATATAAATTGAACAATATTAACGTTATATAAATTGAACAATATTAACTTTATAAACGTTATATAAATTAAATAATATTAACGTTATAAACGTGTTTATCTGAGGTAAGTCGAAAAAAGAAATTCATATATATTCCTAAAAAAAATTAATAAATAAATAAAAATAAATACATATCTCTCAAGAGAACGATAACGTGATGATCGTCACGTAATGTTAACGCGAAAAAACAAAATAATTTTTTTTAAATACAACAGATTGAGATTAATGGAACTCTTTCTTAATAAAATAGCAAAGAACTTTTTACGATGAGGTAGATATTAAGTGGAAGTTATATAATATCTCTGTATTTGGTTGTTGCTCACAGTTTGAGGGCCAGATATCTTTGGCAGTGTCGGAGGGTCCAATTTAATTCGCTTACGCATGCCCGAATAACAGTAACGAGAGTTGCCCCGCGTACCCAGTCTACGAGGACGTACTCGCGGATATACTTGTTTCATGACTTTTCCGAAATCCGCCGTTGATAATGGCTTCATCGCATTTCTTGTACAAAACACGCTGAAATTATATAAATAGAAATTAGATGCAATGTCGTTGGGGAAAAAATGTTTCTTCTATCGTTTTCATATAATTCTTGAGACAAATTCAAATATTGTAAGTGTGATTTTCTTCCAATCGCAAACACTCGATTGATTTAAGATATCAGTAAAATGTGCAAATAAAGCTATATTCTTTATTTATTGATTTTTTTATCTCAACAAATTTATGACGCAATAGTCAGAAAAGAATATATTAAAAATGTTTATGAAAATGTTAATACACATGTATTTATGTATCTATATGTATATATATGTTAAATAATATCCTGATATATAAATGTGAATAATCTTTCAGACTTGACTAGATCAGGTGACATACATCTTTAAAGTATATATTTAAAGAGCATTATTGAAGAATAACCTCTGTACTATTCGGCAGATTTTAATAATTTGAATTATATATATATATATATATATATATATATATATATATATATATATATATATATATAT